TAGGATAGGATAGGATAGGATAGGATAGGATAGGATAGGATAGGATAAATAAAATTAAGTAAAAAATAAAATAGTTTATAAACATTGGCCTGTTTACCAACCATAATGTTAGGCATTGGTAATTTCAAGATGAAGAAAATATAGTCTTTGCCCTTCAGGAATTAATAATTTTGCAGAAATTTTGCAGAAATCTGAAAAGCAGAAAATTACAGTGTATTGTAGTCAGTCCTTTAATAGAGGTATATATTTGTGCTATGGAAACATAAAGAACTATAAAGGTAGAGAGTCATCTGTTAACATAATTCTTATTTATTCTATTTGGCCAAATGGAACAGTATTTGTAGAAGAGATGATGGCGAATCTGTTTTACAAAATTATAATTATTACATAATTATAAAATTATAAAGTAAAAACTTTTTTCACAACGCATGAACTTAACTAGCCTGGACTATGAAAAACTAAGCTTTTCAGCCTCACTGTGATGTATATAAAATCAAGGCAGTTTGCTTATTTTCTGTGATCGTATAATGATGTAATAGCCCAAAAGGGTAGTGTTCTCAGAGCCGGATACTAGGAGACAGGAATTTCTTGCTCTAAAAAATAATCTCAGGGGGTGCCTGGGTGGCTCAGTTGGTTAAGTGTCCGACTTAGGCTCAGGACATGATCTCATGGTTTGTGAGTTCGAGCCCCGCGTGTGGGCTCTGTGCTGTCAGTTCAGAGCCTGGAGCCTGCTTCGGATTCTGTGTCTCCTTCTCTCTATGCCCCTCCCCCACTTGTGCTCTGTCTCTCTCTGTCTCTCAAAAATAAATAAATGTAAAAAAAAAAAAGAAAGAAAAATCTCAGGGGCACCTCGGTGGCTCAGTCGGTTAAGCCTCCGACTTTGGCTCAGGTCATGATCTCACGGTTCGAGACCCGTGTCAGGCTCTGTGCTAACAGCTCAGAGCCTGGAGCCTGCTTTGGATTCTGTGTCTCCCTCTCACTCTCTGCCCCTCCCCTGCTCGTTCTCTCTCTCTCAAAATTAAATATTAAAAATAATAATAAATAATTTCAGGGTCATTTTAAGTATAAAATATTACTGTATGTGATATTGGACACAAATCATTTTTGATACCTGCCTTGATAAACCAACCTTTATGTGATTTTTTAACTTAAAATTTTAGGTTAATAGTGAAAAGTCTCACATATAGAAGTTCCTATTCAGAGTCCAAAATTTGTATTCTAAGTATCTTTATGAAAGATACCAGAATAGATCTGTTTCTGAATAACAGTAAGTAAATAGTCACCAAATTTCAGCCTTATCTGTTGAATATAACTTTGTACAACATATAAAGTATAATGTAAGGATTACCGTTTTGTTAAAGAATAAACACACTAAAACCTTATAAACATGCTACTGAGGATAAGTGGAAATTTCCATACAAAGTACACATCTTGGATTTCATTAATAGCAAACATTTATATAGTACTATATTCACTGTGTGCCAGATATATAGTAACATTGATTAACTCACTTAATCCAAGTAATTTTATAAGACTGGTACCATTATTATCCCCATTTCCAGATGAAGAAAGCAAGGCATTCACAAGTTAAGTGATAAACTCAAGGTCATATAGCTGGTAAATTGGGTCCCAGGACCATGAGCTTAACCATTGCACTGTACTATCCTTTTTCTGAAACAAGTAATCTTTTTTCAACAAGTTGTCCTGGGGGTGAGTGCTAGGAATAGGAAGAGTATTGTGCTAAAGTTGAATACTTTGCTTCCTAGCACCTAAGGGTAATGGTGCTACCACCATTCATGTAGCTTCCCAAGCTCCATAATTTTTCTTCCTACCTCAGGTCTCCTGTTTGTAATCCTACCTATTAGGATTTCCTAATTGTAAATCCTACCTATTAGGTTTCCTAAATATCTTCCAGCCTTGTTGTTCCTCTCTGCTGTCAGTATTTTCGTTACTTTGATCCTAACAATCAGTATTGGACCCAAAAATTTCCTAGTTGGTTGCTCTGCCTTCTGTGTCTCTCCACTTCTAGTCTTTATTCCAGGCAGTGCTTGATTTTACCACTACTGTTATTTTTAAATGTTTAATAACACCCATTCTTATAAGATCAAATCCAAACTTTATCATGGCATCCAAAAACCCATTTTCCCTCCAAGATACCTCTAATTTATTTTTCCATCTTCAACTCCTTCCACTCCCCTCTGTATCCTTGTAGTGCCTTCTTTCTAGAAGGCTGTCTGAATATACTGTGTTCTTTTATGTCTTACTAGCCTGTATCCATGCTCTGCCCTTCATCCAGAATGCTCTCCCCTCTTTTGTCTGGTAAAGATTTTTCTTATCCTGCAAGTTCTGACTCACTCGGTAGTGTCTATAAATCCTTCCCTAACTTACTCAGGTTTCCCCTGCTCCCAAAGTAGTTTTTACCTACTTCTGATAGAATATTCTGATATAATATTCCATCAAATTATATTATAGTTATTGTCATTTCCTTCACCAGACTTGGAATATCTCATACTGTATACACATTTGTTTAGCAGGTGAATGCTCAATAGGTATTTTTGAATCAATGAACAAATATATGAAATTCTAACAATCTTTTCCATAGGTGCTGCAGATGATTACAATAGGATTGGTTCTTCGCTATATGCTTTAGGAACTCAGGATTCTACAGATATATGCAAGTAAGGATTCTGATTTAAAACATTAAATAAAACACAGGGCACCTGGGTGGCTCAGTTGGTTAGGCGTCTGACTTTGGGTCAGGTCATGATCTCATGGTTTGTGAGTTCGAGCCCTGCATTGGGCTCTGTGCTGACAGCTCAGAGTCTGGAGCCTGCTTTGGATTCTATGTCTCCCTCTCTCTCTGCTCCTCCCCTGCTCACACTCTGTCTCTCTCTCAAAAATAAACATTAAAAAAAAAAAAGTTTTAAAACATTAAATAAAACAGAAAAATTTTGCTAGCAGCCTGGGCATGTAGAATGCCTGACCCAGCAGGCATTTAGAATATCTTCATCAAAACACATCAGTAATAAGGAACTTTTTTATAAACTTGGATCAATGTTATTTTTTCCTCTACTCTTTCTCTCTTATTTCTTAAATCTGAAAAATAGAGGCGCCTAGGGAACTCAGTTTAAATGTCCGACTTCTGCTCAGGTCATGATCTCACGGTTCGTGGGTTCAAGCTCCACATCGGACTCTCTACTATCAGCACATAGCCTGCTTCGGATCCTCTGTCTCCCTCTCTCTCTGTCCCTCCCCAGTTCACATGCTCTCTCTCTCTCAAAAATAAACATTTAAAAAGAAAATCTGAAAAATAAAAATTGACTTTAATGTATATTTTAACATTTACAAAGTGTTATTTGATGAAAATTGGCTGACGTGTGTGTATGTGTAAGGAAGAGACACAGAACTTATGTCAAAATGTTCTTAGGTTTTGATGAAGTTTATTATAAATAAACGTTCTGAAATTAGAATATACAGTATATATATGTATGTATGTATTTCTTTGGAGGCCAAATTGACTTTTAAAGTAAAATATGATGGTATTAGTTTATACTTTTTAGAGAGGCTAGTTTTAGTTTTTAAGTTTAGTGAATCTCAGGGTAGTCCTAGGGTGACCAGAGGGTAGCTGTTGTATGTGTTAGTATGGAAATACTCTCTGAATGTTTGCTTACACAGCTGTCCCTTACTTAATTTATGTTAGCTTTCTACATTAATCTAACCATGGTTAATTTTAGTTTTTCCTATAATATTGTTTAAACACAACTGTTTATTGAAAAATAATCCAAACTTTTTTTTTTCAAACTTAAGTGGCAAAACTATTTTCCTAGTTTATGCCTTTTTCTAAACCACATCCTTGAATCTTTTTTCTAGTGTATCTTGTCTTAGTAGACCTGTAAGATCCAAAGATCCAAGTTTTTCAGCAAAGCAAGGTACTATACATATATATATATGGCTTACATTAATTAACATGCTACCTTTCCTAAGAATTCATAAGTCTTGGAGTGCCTGGGTGGCTCAGTCGGTTAAGCATCTGACTTCAGTTCATGATCTCATAATTCGTGGGTTCTAGCCCCACATCAGGCTCTGTGCTGACAGCCCAGAGCCTGGAGCCTGCTTTGGATTCTGTGTCTCCCTCTCTGTCTGCCCCTCCCCTGCTCACACTCTGTCTGCCCCTCCCCTGCTCACACTCTGTCTCTCTCTGTCTCTCAAAAATGAATAAACATAATTTTTAAAAAAAGGATTTGTAAGTCTTTGATAAGAAGAAAAAGTCAACCTTGCCATGTGTAACTGGGCATAAACCTGTCAAGCAAGTTCTTTTTAGTAAAACAAAGTTCATAAAATAGTGTTTTAGCTTTCAATAGCACTTGCCTTCATCCAGTTATAACGTCACCAGTAATTACATATTTTACAGAATACTCTTTTAAAAAGCTGTGCATTGGGATATTTTTTAGTTGGTATCACCATTGAGAGATAGGCAATTTAGTTAAAAGTGAACATGAATTTTAAGATACAAATTGCTTACTCATTTCTGTTATTTTCTAAAACAAAGCAGCTCTATTTGAAGGTGTTTAAAACATAACTATCAAATAACTTCAAGAGCTGTTCCAGCCTTAGTGTTTTCCTTTTAAATCAGCCTTTTGTCTCTTTGGATCTGATTGTTCTGTACTTCTATAAGAATTTTGAAATCATGGGCTTTATTTAGTATTATGTGGCATATTAATGAATGTAAGGAAAAATTTTTTTTTGTTTAAATATATGTATGGCTTAGGGGTGCCTGCTGGCTCAGTTGGTGGAGCATGTGCCTTTTGATCCAGGGGTTGTGAGTTCAAGCCCCACATTGGGTATAGAGATTAGGGAAAAAAATTGAATTTTAAAAAGTTAGAAATTAATAAATATATGGCTTAGATTGTTACTTTGAAAGGGTAAGATTTTCTGTAACAACAGTTTCCAAGTTATCTGTTATATGGGTGGAAGTACAGAGATGTTGAACTAAATGAAGTCTGCATTGAACGAGACCATCAAATATTACTGTAGTGAGATAACAGTGTTCATTATTAATACAGTTTGGGGGCATATTCTCTCAACATTTGACTTGGAAAATCATTTCAGAGCTGGCTTCTGATGAAATATTTTTCCCTTCCAGGTTTTTTCTCAAAGTTTCAGAACTATTTGATAAAACCAGAGTAAGTACTATCAGTTAACCTTTGGGAGTCTAAATCATTGCATACAGTACTGTTTAACCTGTTATGATTGTGTTTAACTTTGTTGAGAAAGATGAGTTCTACTTCAGAAGGATGAAGAAACAGACTTAGATTTGAAAATTGTAAGTTGTTTTTCAGGAAACTCATTTTTTTTGTTGCTGTTGTTATGGCCTTTTGGTATTTGTAAAAGTTCATATTCTTGATCAGAGAACATTTTCATTATAGAGACTAGGTTTACTTTTATGAAGAATGGTCTTTTTCTGGGGCTTTGTATGCTAGAAGAAAGTTTTAGATTTATTACGGTTTTACCAAGATTGCATTGCTTTTGATCCCCCTTGACACACTGGTTTAAAAGCGAGTTATATCTGTGTCATTGGGTGACTCAACTGAGCGTCCAACTTCAGCTTAGGTCATGATCTTAGGGTTCATGAGTTTGAGCCCCACAATGAGCTGGCTTCTTTCAGCACAGAGCCCGCTTAGGATCCTCTGTCCCCATCTCCCTCTGCCCCTCCCCTGCTCACGCTCTCTCTCTCTTAAAAATAAACATTTAAAAAAAAAAAGTGAGTTTAACAATATGAGGCAAATACACAACTGCAAAAAAGGTTACATAGCAATAATGCTTTAATATTGATGTAGTCTTGATTTTCAGGGATTAGTCTTAGATACAATAATATTAAAACACTTTGATGAAGTTCAGAGAAGAGTGAAATGTTTATTATGTGTTTAATGGCACTTACCTGAGATTGGAAGTGGCTAGTCCATTGTAGAAATCTGATTTCAACGTGACTTTGTCAATTGAGTAATAGATAGTGAAGATAAGTAAAAGAAAAGGAGTTATTTTCTTACAAAGGAAACCATCATTAAATACATAAATGTTGTTGTAGTGAAGGGTCCCAAAAGCCCATTATTTCACTTTTGGTATTTGTACAAATGAGCATTTTCCAGGAGGATACAGTTGTTTCCTGTGTGTCTACATCAAAAGAATAGGGAACTATCACAGAATAGCTTTATGAGTTAGTATTTTTGCAGAAGTAAATGTCAAGATGAGATTAGACATGCAAGAGATTCATTGGGAAGAACAAAGAGGGAGGAGCAGGATAGACGTGAAGAGACTTCAGACCATAGTGCAGGTCTACACCTGGGAAAGGAGAGGGACTTGGTAGGAGGAGTTTCAGACTATAGCGCAGTCTTAAAGTTTTGTCCAGATCAAAAGGGAGTCCTCAGCCAAAGTTGCTCATTAGAGGCAGTACGGCATCAGCAAGACTGGGCTAGTGCTACGGCCCCTGTGCTCTGTCATTGGGTGCAGCTGAGGCAAGGAGGGAAGGATGTATCATAACCTTGGGATGAATATTGTTCTGATCTAGAGAGATTGCAGCTGGGACTCTGAACAAACTATGCTCCTTGCAGCAAGCAATTTCTCATGAAGGAGATCTAGATGGCACGTTGCCATAGGCACCACAGTCTTCATTTCTTTTGGTGTCTTGGTGTTGTTCTGGTTATTATTGCTGTGGCACAAACCATCCTAAAATCAATAGCTTAAAACGACAGCCATTTTATTATGCTAATGAATTCTTTGGGTCAAGAATTCACAAAAGGCAGAACAGAGGTGGCTTGCCTTTACTCCATGATGTCTGGGGCCTCAACAGGGAACATATGAAGGCTGTGGGCTAGAATCCTCTGAAGGAAGGCTCTTTCACTCAGGTGTCTGGGGGTGATACTGGCTACCAACCGAGACTTTAGCCGGGGCTATTGGCTGTAACATTTGTGTGTTGCTTTTCCATGGAGCTGCTTAGGTTTCCTCACAGTATGGTGGCTTGAAAGCAAGCATCCTGAAAAATGGGAAGTGAAAATTGCTAGTTTCATTAAGGCCTTGAAACTGGCACAGCATCACTTTTGTATTGATCAAGCAATGTTAGGGCCCAGAATCAAGGGAAGGGAATACATACATACATACCCCTACTCCGTCTTAGTGGAAGGAGAGAGGAGCCATATTTAAAAGCACCCAACTTCCATCTAACATGTTACCTAGATTTATCTAAATCAGTTTATCTAAATTTATCTAAATCAATTTTGAATATATTTTATGTCTGTGCATTTATTGTTAGGTTCATAAGTTTATTTCTCTGTAAGGGAATGTGTCTTAAGCTTCAAGGTTTTTGCTAACTTTTTACTGAAATATATTTTACATATAGGAAAGAGCATATATGAGAAGTATACAGCTCAGTGAAATTTAACAAATTTAACACACCCATATAATGAACACCCACATCAAGAAATAGAACATTTAGGGGCACCTGGGTGGCTCAGTCGGTTAAGCATCCAACTCTTGATTTTGGTTCAGGTCATGATCTCACGGTTCATGAGTTTGAGCCCCACATCGGGCTCCATGATGACATTGCTAAGCCTGCTTGGGATTCTCTCTACCCCCTCTATTTTGCCCCTCCCCCCTTCTGTACATGCGCACTCGCTGACTCTCTCTCTCTCTCAAAATAAGTAAACTTAAACAAAAAAAGCATGCCCTGCCCCCCTTCAGCTGCTTTCTGAGTCACCACCTCCTGCAAGGAAAACCACTATCTTAGCTTCTAACAGCAGAGATTAATCTTATTTTCATATTTTATGTAAATGCTTCATGCAGTATGTATTCTTTCATGTCTGGTTCCATTTACTCAGCATTACATACATAAGATTCATCTGTGTTGGTTTTTTTTTTTTCCTTTTTCAGAAGAGAGAGAAGTACTTTTCCTTTTTTTTTTTTTCTTTTCTTTTTAGTTTATTTACTTTGAAAGAGAGAGAGAGCTAGGGAGGAACAGAGAGAGGGAGAGAGAGAATCCCAAGTAGGCTCCACACTACAGCTTGGAGCCCCATGCAGAGCTCAAACTCACGAACCATGAGAAACCTGAGCCAAAATCCAGAGTCGGATGCTTAACTGACTGAGCCACGAAGGCGCCCCTGCGTTTTTTGTTTTTGTTTTTGTTTTTTCGTTTGGTTTTAAGTTTATTTACTGAGAGAGAGAGAGACAGAGAGAGTACACGCGAACGAGTGCACAAGTGGGGGGAGGGGCAGAGAGCGAGGAAGAGAGAAAGAATCCCAAGCAGGCTCCATGCTACCAGCACAGTGCCCAGCTGAGGGCTCAGTCTCACAAACCATGAGATCATGATCTGAGCCAAAATGAAGAATCAAACACTTAGCCTACTGAACCACCCAGGAGCCCCGATTCATCCATGTTGTTGCATGTAGGTATAGTTCCTTCATTCCTTCATTCATTGCTATATACCTTTCCTTGTCAAGAATATACCTAAATTTATTCATTTGTCCTCCTGTTGGTAGGCATTTGGATCGTTTCTAGTTTGTGGCTCTTTACAAATAGTACTTCTAAGACCATTCCTAGATAGTTTCAGCTGAAAACAAGTAGATACTTGTTCAGTATATATAACCAGGAGGGGAATTAGGGGTCTTACGGTATCCATGTGAAAAGCTTTCATAGATCGTGCCAAACCGTTTCCCAAAGTGATTGTACCAATTTACATTCCCATCAGAATAAATGTGAGCATTGGGGTTGCTACACAGCTTGCAGTACTTGCTGTTGTCTTTTTTTAGTTATTCTGTTGGATGTGTAGGGTTTTTATTTTTAATTTTTTTAATGTTTTTATTTATTTTTGAAGGAGAGAGAGAGACAGAGGATGAGCGGGGGAGGAGCAGAGAGAGAGGGAGACACAGAATTCAAAGTAGGCTCCATACTGAGCTGTCAGCACAGAGCCGGACGTGGGGCTTGAACTCACAAACTGAGATCATGACCTGAGCCAAAGTTGGATGCTTAACTGACTGAGCACCCAGGTGCCCTGGATGTGTAGGGTTTTTAAATTTTAACTTTATTTCAACAGGAATTTCAGACCCACAGAAACATTGTGAGAATAGTACAAGGAATTCCTATACATGGGTCACCCAGATTTCCTAAATGTTAACATTTTCTACATTGCTTAAAGTGCTTTTTCCCCAAAATGTCCATTTCATTCTGTTTCTGCCCTTTGTGCACATCTGTCTTTTTTTAAAAGATAAGAATTAGGGGCACCTGGGTGGCTCAGTCAGTAAAACCTCCAGCTCCTGATTTCAGCACAGGTCATGATCTCATGGTTCGTGGGATCGAGTCCTTTGTTGGGCTCTGCGCTGAGTGCAGAGTCTGCTTGAGGTTTCCTCCCTCTCTCTCATTCTCAAAATAAATAAATAAACATTTTTTTAAAAAGATAAGAATTTTAATATAGTCAATACAGTTATCAATGATTTCCCTTGATGTCACCAAATTCTTGCTATATACATGTTCCCAGTTGCCTCAAATGGCTTTTTACAGTGGAGTTCATCTGACTTAGATTCCAACAAGGTCCCTATATTATATTTGGTTGACATAATACATCTTTATCCTCTGTCTCTCCAGACTGAAGAGTTGCATCTTTTTAGTCTGACATGGCTGTTTCCCGTTTTATCCCAACTCAAACTAACCACATCTGTTTATTACTCTGTGGTGTCTTCAGGCACATTTTGGTAATGTTTTGACTGTATTTTCTGGTTGTTCTCAGTAGGAAGATTGGTTTGTTACCTAGTCTACCATTGTCAGCCTTTAACACTTTAAAATCATGTGTACATATCATTGAAAGGAAGTAACAAGAGAAAATGTAAGTGCTGAAAGATGGTACTGAAACACAGTCTAGCTGGGAACTTGAATCAGATATCGAGTCCTTCCAAAAACTCACTAATTTCATTTGATCTCCTTCTTTTTTCTGTTTATTTCTTGTCATAATCATGAAGAAAAGTAATAGTCTAGTAGAAAGGAGAGGGTGGGAAACTTAGGTTAAATAGGAGTGGATACAGTAGATATTTATAACTTTAATTTTTTTACAGTAATTGAGAAAGAAAATGTGGGGTGTAGACTATGTGCTAATTAAATGCCTGTTTTTTTCCCCTTTTTCAGAAAATAGAAGCACGAGTGTCTGCTGATGAGGACCTCAAACTTTCTGACCTTTTAAAATATTACTTAAGGGAATCTCAAGCTGCTAAGGTAACTTACTGTTCACTGTTTTTTAAAAAGGACTGTTTTATTAAAAGCCATCTCTTTAGAAGTTAGATTTAAGGTTATTAAAAATTATTAATCTGTTGATTTTAAATTATATTCTCAAGTGTGAATTTTTTTCTCCTTTTATAAATTGTAGGTCAGGGAACCCCACATAAATGTTTCCTCTATTGGGGTGCCTGACTGGCTCAGTTGGTAGAGCATGCAACTCTAAATGTTGGGGTCATGACTTCATGCCCCGTGTTGGGCCTAGTGCTTATTTAAAAGAATAAAAACTTGGGGCACTTGGTGGCTCAGTCAGTTATGCATCCGGCTTTGGCTCAGGTCATGATCTTGTGGTTCATGAGTTCGAGCCCCACATTAGGCTCTGCGCTGACAGCTTGGAGCCTGGAACCTGCCTCGGATTCTGTGTCTCCCTTTCTCTCTGTCCTTGCCCAGCTTGTGCACACATGTGCTCTCTCACTCTGTCTCTCAAAAAGTAAACATTTTTTAAAAAATTATTAAAAATAATAATAAAATTAAAAAATAACTAAAAATAATGTTTCCTCTATAAGCTTCTGATACAGTATAGATTAGAATTTTTTTTTTTTTAATGAATTTGGTATAGTCATTCAGGTAAAATGCCTACAAAACAAAAAGTAAACCCCGTAGCTAAAGGAGTCCTAATTTGGTCTATATATATCTTTTGGGGGTAAATGAGCTCTAAAATCAGAATGTGTTTTATTTTAAGGCGACTCAAATTTCCTTTTTTTTTGAGAGTGAAGAGGGTGAGTAGGGGCAGAGAGAGAGGAAGACTGAGAATCCCAGCAGGCTCTGCACTGTCAGTGCAGAGACCGACCTGGGGCTCAAACCCACCAACCGCAAGATCATGACCTCAGCCAAAATCAAGAGTCGATCACTCAACCAACTGAGCCACCCAGGGAACCCAAATATCCTTTGGAAGTCTATGTATGTGCAAGACTAAAACTCTTACTATCCAAAAAATGTTTAACAGAAACAACTGAAAAAAGCACTGAAAACTTAGTGGCTCAGATATTCCAAATTTTGTGTTAATTTATGAATCGGTATGTATTGTACAGAAAATTCCCATGTGGTCAGTGGTGATTTGAACACCACATTTTCATTCCTTATCAAATTATAAATTGGCCTTGGGGCACCTGGCTGGCTTAGTTTATAGCACATGTGACTCTTGATCTCAGGGTCTCGAGTTCAAGCCCCACATTGGGTGTAGAGATTACTTAAAACATAAAATCATTAGTGGTGCCTGGGTGGCTCAGTTGAATAAGTGTCTGACTCTTGTATTTGGCTCAGATCATGAACCCACGGTTCATGAGCTCAAGCTCCACATCAGTCTCCACGATGATAGTGTGGAGCCTACTTGGGATTTTCTCTCTCCTCCTCTGTATCTGCCCCACCACTCTTGTTCTCTCTCCCAAAACAAATAAACTTTAAAAAAAAAATTAATAAATAAGTAAGGGGCACCTGGGTGGCTTATTCGGTTAGGTGTCCAACTTTGGCTCAGGTTATGGTCTCATGGTTTGTGGATTCAAGCCCCGCATCGGGCTCTGAGCTGACGGCTCAGAGCATGCAGCCTACTTCAGATTCTGTCTCCCTTTCTCTCTGCCCTCCCCCGCTTCTGCCCTGTCTCTGTCTCTCTCAAAAGTGAATAAACCTTTTTTAAAAATTGTTTTCAATAATTAATTAATTAAATATTTGTAAAATAAAACCACAGCGTGATACCACTTCACACCACCAGGTGGCTTGAATCAAAAAGATAAGCGTTGCCAAGGATGTGGAGAAATTGGGACACTCATACAGCGTCTGCAGAAATGTAAAATGGCGCAGCCACTTTGGAAAACAGTCTGGCAGTTTCTCAAAAGGTTGAACATAGAATTACCGAGTGACCCAGCAATTCCACCCCTAAGTAATGAGATAGAAAGAGAAAGGAAGACATGGTCACACACAGACTTCTACACAAATGTTCATAACAGCATTATTCATAATAGGCAGAGTGTGGAAACAAACAAATGTCTCTCCACTGGTGAACGGACACATCCATGCGGTGTGTCTGTCCTTACGGCGAAACATCATTTAGCAGTCAAGAGGAATGAAGTACTGATTCAGTTATAACATGAATGAACTCGAAACTGTATGCTGTGTGAAGAAGAAAGCCAGACAGAAAAGGCCACATATTACGTGATTCCATTTTTTTTTTCATGGCACGCCCAGAATAGGCAAATCTATAGAGACAGAAAGCAGATCAACGGTTGTCTAGGGTTGGGGGGTGGCAAGGAGGAAATGAAGAGTGACTGCTGATGGATGTGGGGTTTCTTTTTGATCGACAAAAATGCTCCAAAATTGATGGTGGTGATGGTTATACAACTCTGCCAGCACACTAAAAACCCATGAATTGTGCACTTGGAACGAGGTGTCTGTGTGTGAATTACATCTCCATAAAGCCGTTATAAAGACCATTTGGAGGGTGACTGGCATGTGATCTTCATGGCGTAAGCGTTAGCTCTGATGATGATGGGGGCAGTGGGGTGGTGGTGGTTGCCCGTAACTGTTCGAAACACGCATCGTGCCTTACTGTGAAGCATTCTGTTGTATAGGATCTCCTCTATCGAAGATCTAGGTCACTAGTGGATTATGAAAATGCTAACAAAGCACTGGATAAAGCAAGAGCGAAAAATAAAGATGTTCTTCAGGCTGAGACATCCCAACAATTATGTTGTCAGAAATTTGAAAAAATATCTGAATCTGCAAAACAAGGTACTGTTATATTAACCTTTAATTATACGGTATACCTTCAACTATTATGTGAATTAAATAGTTAATCCTAATTTCTTTTGTTCACAGAACTTATAGATTTTAAGACGAGAAGAGTTGCCGCATTCAGAAAAAATTTAGTGGAACTGGCAGAGTTAGAACTGAAGCATGCAAAGGTTAGTGTCATAGTCAAGGTTTAATAGTTTACGTGACTTATAATTTAGAAATGAGTCAGTCTTGGGGCACCTGGGTCCTCACGATTGGTGAGTTTCAAGTCCCACGTTAGGCTGTGCGGGGCCCCCCCTTCAGATCCTCTGTCCCCGGTCTGTGCTCTTCCCCCCCAAAAGTAAAAAATAAACATTAAAAAGAAAAGGGAGGGAGGGAGGGAGAGAGAGAGAGAGAGAAAGATAGAAAGAAAGAAAGAAAGAAAGAAAGAAAGAAAGAAAGAAAGAAAGAAAAAGAGAGAAAGAAAGAAGAGAAAGAAAGAAAGAAAGAAAAAGAGAGAAAGAAAGAAGAGAAAGAAATGAATGAATGAATGAATGAATTATGGGGTGCCTGGCCGGCTCATTCGGTGGAGCATGTGACCCTTGATCTCCTAGATGTGAGTTTGAGCCCCACGTTGGGTGTTGGGTGTAGAGATTACTTAAAAAAAAAAAAAAAGAAAGAGAGGAAGGCAGGGAGGAAGGAAGGAGTCAGTTATGGAAGTGACAATAATCCTTTAATGACAGTTTCTTTCTGGAGGGATATTGGAAGAGCCATTCCTGGATTAGAATGAATTATAATTGGGATGCTAATTTTTGAAGATCATTTTAGTACTCCAGAATAATTTAATGTTCGTAAATAAATATCCTTCGCCCAGCGTTTTTTCTAGTGTTTGTTTCCTCCAGATTCAGCCCTTTCTTGTAGTTAAGATAAAGCTTGGCCCAAGCCTTCTAATAAGGTTAGAACTAGAGAATCTTAGAATTGCGAGCGAACTTAAAGATCATCTAATTCAAGCAAGAATAATACGTACAATTTCTCTAAGCGGTCGGCTCTGCAAGACCCTAGTACCTAATATGGAAACCAGTATCATTTGTGACTGCTTAAAAAAGATAAATCTATCTTTAATAAAAACTTCTTTAAAAATTTAATATTTGCTGGCTTCAGTCAGAAGGACTGAAAGTAAAAATATATTCAAAATTCCCCAAATTAGAAGTATTAAAGAAATTTAAATAAACTTGTTAGTGTTTTTTTGTTTTTTTGTTTTTGTTTTTTTTTAATATATTTATAGTATTTACGCTTTGAAAGCCATTAAAAAGCTTGAAACTCTACTGAGACGTTCGGGACACTCCATAACGCACAGAAAGCTGCTTCTGTGTCACTTTGACAAATCGGTCAGAGTTTTGTCACGTGAAATAAGAAAGATAAATTTGACGGATGCCTGGGTGGCTCTGTCGTTTGAGGGTCCGACTCTTGGTTTCGGTCAGGTCATGGTCTCACAGTTTGTCAGCTGGAGGAGCCCTGCGTCCAACTCTGCGTGGAGTCTGCTTGGGGTTCTCTCTCTCCCTGCCCCTCCCCGCTCGTGCGCTCGCTGGTGCGCGCTCTCTCTCTCTCTCTCTCTCTCTCTCTCTCTCTCAAACTCTCAAAATAAATGGGTTGGCTTTAAAAAAAGAAAGAAAAATGAATTTAATTTCTCCCACAGAAACATTTGGATATATTACCCTCAAATATTTGATTATATTCTCTCCTACAAGCTAGACATCTTTGAGCTAAATATATTTTATCCCATACATTTCAATAAGCTTTTTATATTATTACACTAGGTCATTGCTGTTTTCAAATATTGCATGCAGGGGCCCCTTGGTGGCTCAGTTGGGTAAGCCTCTGTCTTTGGCTCAGGTCACGATCTCACGAGCTCACGATCTCACAGTTGGTGAGTTCGAGCCCGACGTCGGGCTCTGTGCTGACAGCTCAGAGCCTGGAATTGCTTCGGATTCTGTGTCTCCCTCTTTTCTCTCTCTGCCCCTCCCCTGCTCATGCTCTGTCTCTCTCTGTCTCTATGTCTCTCTCTCTCTCTCTCTCTCTCTCTCTGTTTCTCAAAAAAAAATAAGTACATAAACATTAAAATTTTTTTTCAATATTGCACCCAGAAATGGAAACACCTTTCCATACGTGGACTTATTATTGTACACGTTTCTTCTTACGGCAGTTTTAGAGGCATAAGGGTTTTTTGTGTTTTTTCTTTTTTTTCTTTTTCTTTTTGCTTTTCGCATAAGGGTTTGTTTTTTCGTTTTTTGGTTCTTTTGTGTTTTGTTTTGTTTAGCGCCATCTTACACCAGCTTGATTTGGCTTATAATCACACATCTTCTCCTCGTTCTCCTCCTCCTTCTTGGTCTGTTTTCGAGCCTCCAACCTATAGTTGTGTGTTTAATTCTTTGTAGGAATAGTTTTCATTTTTGTGGTAAAAAACACATAAATGTACCGTCTTACCCACTTTGAAAGTGTGCGGTTCAGCCTCGTTAAGTATATTCACATTGTCGTGCAACAGGTCTCTAGAACTTTTCATGTACGGAGCATTTAATTTTTAAAATGAAGTTGCAGGCCACAGTTATGTCTGTCAAATTGTAGCTTGCTAGTTGTAGCCCAGCGTGAGATCTTTTGGAAACTTCGATTTGATCATAAAGTAGTTGACTAGGAGAGTGGTGATTACTCCCAAGTGATGGACATTTGTAGTTTGTATGAACTTCCCTTTTATGTCGTCATCTAAGTTTTACTTTAAAAGATTGATCGGGACCAAAGGAGTCAACGTTGGTTCATCTAACCGGATAAGTGCACGGTACCCAAAAAGGCTGAATTTTTAGTTCCCTTCCTTTCTTTCTGTACTAATTGATATTAAGTTATTAATGAGTATTCTTTGGCGATGGCTATTTGGGTAGCTAGGAATTCACCTATTTATACTATCATCAACCGTTTCCATTTTATCTGTGATGGATACAAGAAGTATCCAATTCCTCATTACAATGAAGCTATATGTTACGGATTTCCCGGTCTAATCACCCTCTCAAAAGAAAATATTTCGATAAGGTTGGCATGATTTATTGTTACTGCACCCGTGTTGGTTTCTAATGTTCACTATGTTTGTTCTTTGTAAGGAGGTTACAAAATCTCTTCAGGATTTTGTTAATAGGTTTAAGGAAGGATTAGCAAATTACAGCCTGTCTGTTTCTGTGTAGCCTGTGAGCCAAGAATGGCGTTGGTTTTGAGAGGGAGAGAGAGAGCACGAGCAGGGAAGGGGCAGAGAGAGAGAGGGAGAGAGAGAGGTAGAGAGAGAGAAAGAACACCAAGCAGGCTCCTCACTGTCAGCGTGAAGCCCGATGCAGGGCTTGAACTCCCTAACCGCCAGACCATGACCTGAGCCGAAACCCAAGAGTCAGACACCTACCCGAAAGAGCCACCCAGGTGTCCCGGAGAGAGAGTATGTTAAGCAGGCTCCACGCCCAGTGCAGAATCCCAGGCGGGGCTGATCTCACGACCAACCGTGAGATCATGACCTGAGCCGAAATCGAGAGTCGGACGACGCTTGACCGACTGAGCCACCCAGGTGCCCCTCAGTGGTTCTTTGAAAAAAGGCGAAAGAATAGTATTTCGTGACACGTGATAATTACGCGAAATTTAGATTTCATCTGTAAGTGTAGTTTTACTGGAATACAGCCAAGCTCGTTCCTTTGTGCTCCGTCTGTGGTTGCTTTCATACTACTACAGCAAAACAGAGACCACATGTCTCTCAAAGTCTAAAACGTTTACTACGTGTTTAAGCCCTTTACAGAAAGTTTGCTGACCCTTACTATATAGATGGTTGTCAGGCTCTGGTTTCCAGATTTCTGTGCTTTTCAAATCCTTTCTGAAATGTGTTCTCTGATGGGTCTTCTGCTCCGGTGGCTCTCTCAACTAGAGGCAGTTTTGCCTCCCGGGAGACATTTAGCAATTTCTGGAGACATGTCTGGTAGTCACAATGGAGGATGGGTGGGTTTACGACCGGTATGTAGAGCACAGAGGGCAGGAATGCTGCTAAACTTTTGACAGGGCACAGGAGAGCCTCCATTAGAAAGGATTCGAGAGCCCCAAATACGTCAAGTGTGCCGAGACTGAGGGACACGGAGACTGGATGGCTCAGTCGGTGGAGCGTGCAACTCGTGTTCTCAGGGTTGTAGGTCTGAGCCCCACGTCGGGTGTAGAGATGACTTTAAAAATAAAATCGTTCAGGGGCACCTGGGTGGCTCAGTCAGTCAAGCATCCGCCTCTTGACCTACCTAAGAAAATGATAATAAATTTTAAAAATAATGATAAAATAAAATCTTCTTTTAAATGGGGGGTAGGGTGGGTGGTGCCTGGCTGGCTCGGTCGGAAGAGCGTGTGACTCTCGATCTCGGAGTCGCCAGTTCAAGCCCCACGTTGGGTGTAGAGAGATTACTTTAATAAAACTTGGGGCGCCTGGGTGGCTCAGTCAGTGAAGCGTCTGACTCTTGGTTTCCGTTCATGTCATGATCTCACGGGTTTGTGAGTTCGAGCCCCGTGTCCAGCTCTGCACTGATAACCGTGGAGCGTGCTTGGGATTCTCTCCTCTCTCTCTCTCTCTCTCTCTCTCTCTCTCTCTCTCTCTCTCTGTCTCTCTCTCAAAAATAAAATAAAATAAACATTTAAAAAACTAATAAAGCTTAAAAAAAAACAAAAAACAAAACCGAGGTTGAGAAACCCTGCCCTCTCGTCTGAGGTTTCTTGATGATTTTGCAAATCTGAACAAAGTCCCATTTTGGTCCCAGAATCCATATAAGTTATTCCAAAGAGATTAGACATTGGTTAAATTTACATCCAGATGGCTTAAAACTGCTTTGGATTTCACTCATTATAACCGGGATATGTCTTGCCATGTATTGGAACCTGGTTATAACAGAAAATTAGGTCATTTGGTCACTTTTGTGTCCTTGAAGACAGTCTCGGATATTTTATTAATGAAGCATAGAATGTATGATAAAGGCAGTGGAAAAAAAAAAAAAAGGTGATGCTACTGCTGCCTATGAGGGCGTGGAGTCCTCGTGCCTGGTGGGTAAGTGTGGGTCAGGGCACACCCTTCTGGAGGGCGTTGGCAGTGTGTCAAGTGCAGGATGTGTATCCTTGGACTTCGTCCCACTGGAGGGATATACCTTTAAGAAGATCATGTCGGAAATACAGACAGGCTCAGAATCCATCGTTCTACTGGCACAACATGGACAGTTACTGGGGCACTTGAAATTCTTAAAGGTTTATGTTCCCCCAATTTCAGGCGCTCAGTAAAGTTGCAAGAAAAGTACAAAGAATCCCTGGATAGTTGTCACTAGAGT